ACCTACGGAAACCTGTGTCCTCACTTTTGATGGCCAGGTTCTGCCTAAAAGAGTATACTGTTGTTACAACTCGCTTCCTGTTCAACAATATATTTACCCAACCGTACAGTGTAGGAAATGCCGCAGGTTTGGCCATGTGGAGTCCATCTGCAGGTCCAAACCAAGATGCAGCAAGTGTGGCCACGAACATCCTGGTAATGGTTGTGAGGTATCAGAAAGAGAGGCCTTTTGTGTGCTGTGCTCCGGTGACCACTTTGCTTATAGCAAGGCTTGCCCGGAGTATGGTAGACAGAGAGCTATTAAGACCATGATGGCGGAAAGGAACATATCCTACATGGAAGCAAGCAAGGTTGTTCCCTCTCCAACACGCCGATACGCTGACATCCTAAAAGCTCCACAACTCAACCAACTCCCTCAACCTTCTCAATCCACTCAGCCTACCCAATCCCTCCAGCACACACAGTCCTACAAAAAAACTGTGGTTCGCCAACCTAAACCTCGATCCCCACTCTCACATTCCTACGATAAAGTCGCACACCAATCCATTACTCAATCTCCCCAACCTTCACAACCTAATGGTTGTGCTATGAATAACTCTTCCCTTGAATCCTCAACTATTGATCTTCTGTTACAACTCTTAACCTCCCTATTATCCCCCAATTCATCTCTATCCCAGTCTATTATACCGTCCAACGTTGCTGTCTCACTTATCAATATTTTAACAAATTTCAAAAATGGCGTCCCACAAAGTATTCCTACAATGGAATGTGAGGAGTGTATTCCATAAAAAACACGACCTCATATTCCTGTTGAACAAATTCAAGCCTCTGGCTATTTCTCTCGCTGAGACCTGGCTTTTACCAAGTCTCAACTTCCATGTCCCCCATTTCAATATTCTTAGATGTGATAGGCCTGATGGCTATGGAGGTGCTGCCCTCCTTATTAATACTAAAATCCCCTTAGTCCCCCTATCCTTGCCCCCATTCCTTGAGGATATCAGCGTGGTTGCAGCTAAGATCTGTAACATATCCGTGCTCTCTATTTATATAGCTCACCCCCATCAAAGTTTCCTGCCTACATTGAGAACGATTTTACAGGATCTACAGGGCCCAATATTGGTTATGGGAGACTTTAACTGCCATCACTATAGATGGGGATCTGAACACTGCGACTCTTTCGGTTCAGGTTTAGTGGAGATCCTCGATGATCTGAGCCTCTGCGTACTTAACAGTGGCTGCTCCACTCGTAGAGTTCTTCCTGGTCAAAATAGTAGCTGTGTGGATTTGACTATTTGCTCACTCGACATCGCCGCAGCTGCTAGCTGGCAGTGCACCGATCTGTCGCATGGTAGCGATCATTATCCAATTTTAGTAACCCTCCCAACTTCAACCCACTTGGTAAAATCTCCCCCCCCCCCCTTTTAAAATATATCCTTTCAGAAGCTAACTGGCAAAATTTCTCCCAAACCCTCGAAAACTCTGTGAATGCTCTCCCCAGACTTGACCTTAGACCCTTAACCCAGGATGATCGTTACCTGGTGATGGACTGTTGTGACGCGTTCGTAGAGGCAATCAGATCAAGTGCAGACAGTTCCTTCAAAATTAAAAACTCGAGCAAAGGCAAAATTCCGTCACCTCCTTGGTGGGACAGTGAATGTACTAGGGCAGTCAAGTATAGGAAGGAGTCCGAAAGGAGATACAATGCCGATATGACCACCCATAATTTACTCACCTACCAAAACGTTTTCGCCTCTACCAAAAGACTCCTTCGACGCAAGAAGCGCGCCGGTTGGGTTAAATTTTGTTCCTCCTTGTCCCCATCCACCCCATCCTCAATGGTGTGGAAGAACATAAATCGGTTCCGATCTGGTTGTTCGCCCTCTGTCTCTTCCTCTATCTCCCCCAATACAGCTGAGCTTTTCCTGGACAGAATTGCCCCCCCGTATGTCCCACAACTCGATGAAGCGACCTTACCAGACTTACCGTTTCAGTCAGTGGATACCCATGACGACCCATTCTCTCTGGAAGAACTGAACATGGTCCTTAACAGTGTGCGAGACTCGGTTCCTGGCATAGACGGCATTCCATATTCTTTCATAGTTCAGGCCAAGCCTAGTACAAAAACTTATTTTTTAAACATTTTGAATTTCTGTTATTCTAACGGTTGGATCCCAGATACATGGAAAGTTCAAATTATTATCCCCATTCTAAAACCAGGAAAACATGCTGGTGATCCAAACAGCTTTAGACCAATCGCCCTCTCATCAGTCCTTATTAAATTATTAGAACATCTCATCAAAAACCGTCTCGAATGGATTGTAGAGTCAAGGAATCTACTGCCAAACTATCAGTTCGGCTTTCGCAAAGGGCTCAGTACAATGGACAGTGTTGCAGTTTTAATAACTGATATCCGTCTTTCTCTGTCACAAAATGCATCTGTTCTAACATCTTTTCTCGACATATCTGCTGCATATGACAATGTCTTAATACCCATTCTCAGGCAGAAACTGCATCAGCTGAGAATTCCGGTTAAGATGATCCACTGCATATGCGCAATGCTTGTGTCCAGAACTCTAGTCCTAAGGACCTTAGGTGAAGAGTTTGGCCAAAGAAAGACCTGGAGGGGCTTACCACAGGGCTCTGTACTGAGTCCGTTGTTGTACAATCTATACACTGCCGACATGGGCTCATGCCTAAACAATGATTGTAGCATCCTTCAATATGCCGACGATCTGGCATTATATGTTTCGAACCATTCCATCCAAGAGGCAGCCACATCACTCACTATTTCCCTTAATTCTCTGTGGCAGTGGCTATCAGATCATGGCCTTAGTCTTTCTGCTCAGAAAAGTGCGGTTGTTATTTTTACAAGAAAGAAGACTCTGCCACAGATTGATGTCCAAGTACAGCTGCAGGAAATTCCTTTATTAAACAAATTTAAGTTCCTAGGAGTATATCTTGACTCTAAATTGACTGGCGTTCACCACATGAACCACTTAACCGCAAAATGTGAACGTGTAATCCCAATTTTAAAGGCCCTAGCTGGGGTCTGGTGGGGAGCACACCCATACACCATGAAACTGGTATATAATGCCCTAGTACGCAGTATATTGGACTATGGGCTATTTTTACTGATTCCATGCAATAAAAGCGCTTTGGCAAAGCTGGACAGAGTCCAATCTAGGTGCCTTCGCATTGTTACTGGTTGCATGAAGTCCTCCCCTATAAATGCCTTACAAGTGGAATGTTCAGATCCACCTTTATCAATAAGAAGACAATTTCTCGCTTCACGTTTTATAATAAAATCTGTTTGTAAATCTTCCCATCCTCTTCTTCCAATAATCTTAGAATTAGACTCCATTTGTACTACCTCAAATTACTGGACTCATAAGGGAATTCCATTGATTCTACAATCCTTTCGCTCCTACTCTACTTTTTTTAACTCTGCTGTGTCATTTGACAAACTCCCTCTGTTTTCCTTTAATTATAGCGTCCTTTGTTTTAAGCCGAATGTTCTTCTGGATGTTGGAATCCCTAAGAAATCTGCCTCTTCTGTTTCCACCTTTAATACACACTTAGCTGAACACTGGGATGGGTTTGAGAGGTTCTTTACTGATGCATCCAAACTTAATAATGATAGCTACACTGGAGCCGCTGTGTACTTCCAAAACTCCAGAATTCTCTTACAGTATAAGTGTCCAAAAGAGGCTTCAGTTTTTACAGGCGAGTGTTTTGCTATCTTAGAGGCATGCTTGTACATTGACTCGCACAACATCCACAAGGCAGTCATATTCACTGACTCTCTAAGTTGCCTTAAAGCCCTGCTACAAAATCCCTTTCGTAGTAAACTTCACAGTCCGCTGATCCTAGAAATAAAAAAAACCCTTTTGAATTGTTCCACCAACTCAAAAATAGTTCAACTGGTATGGGTTCCCAGCCATAGTGGCATTGTGGGCAATGAGTGTGCAGACTCACTGGCCAAAAGTGCTGCTACTTCTGCAATGTCGGACCTGAAACATCTTACACACCAGCATTACGACCTCTTAAGACTGCCTCAGAGAGAATTGTTAACATCCTGGCAGGAAGAGTGGAATAATTCCTCAAAGCATAAAGGGCGTCACTACTACGCAATCCAACCAAGCATTACCCCAAAACCCTGGTTCTATAAATTTAAGAAGGTATGTAAACCTGTCATCTCCACCATATGTAGGCTCCGCATAGGTCACTGCAGCTCACCTGTGTTCCTGAACAAGATTCGGGTACGGGATTCGTCCTTATGTGAATGTGGCTTAGATGAAGGCAATCTAGATCACATATTCTTCAGTTGTCCTAAAAATATCCCATCCCTAGATCTCTATTCTCACCTTACCGAACTAAAAATCCCCATCCCTATCAACTTCTCATCTCTCCTAACATTTTCTTCCCCCCACCTTCTCCAGGTCTTGATGTTGTTCATCCGATCCAATGACATCAGACTTTGACCTTCATTTCTATGAATATTGGATTTTTATTTTTTTGTGATTGTTTCCTTATTAGTTACCTATTTATTTATTTAATACATATCTTATCTATTTGTACTTGTCTGCTTGTTTCAGTGTAAATACTAACCACAACAAAAAGCCCCACATTCAGTCTACAATTAATATCATCAATTCAATTTTTTGTGTAATAAAACCCACGTATTTCCATCGCACTTGACACTGGCAGAATTGTCGACATCGGCACAGTTTGCCATTTATGAAGAAGAAGAAGAAGAACAAATATAGAAATATATAAACAATCAACCGTCCCCGCTGGAAATCATTGGGAGAGGCCTATGTCCAGCAGTGGACATCATAGGCTGAGGTGATGATGACGATAGAAATATGTTTCCACATTTTTGCAAAATCAGCCATAAAGGAAGAAGCAAAGAAATCATTTAGATCATAATATATATGATGACATAATTAATAGCACTTACGAAAGTTTTTGTTACAAATTAGGTGCTCTTTGCTCCAAGATATGAAGTGGTTTTTCTTATCATACGGACGAATTATATTAATAAAATTTAAGTTATGTTTATTATAAATTACCTGTTATTAATGTGGACTTTCTCTTTAAAAATGTAGTTATTTTGTTTAAATAAAAAACTTCACTTTAATTTTTATTTATTATCTGTAATCTGGTGTTTAAAAGGTTAGCTACCGTCTGAGTCTGACATTCCTGAACGATTTTTTGTGAAATGGCGAATTTGTGATTCTTGTGGATCAATTTACTATAATAAATATTAATATTTTTTTATTGACAGTATGCAGAATTGTGAGATAAATAGTTTAGTATATGTGGTCTAAAATCATGCTTATGTTATATTGACTACATTCTGATTATGAAATTTACTAAACTAATTGATTGCATTTGTATCGAGTGTTAGGTTTCCTCACGAAACAAAATTTACCAAGGTAAGCAGTATTTTTTATTGTTTTTAAACATTTGATAATGTCAATTTCTTATTATAAAAGTGGTATATCTTAAGTAATTTTATATCACTCATCGATAGATAGATATGATAGTTTCGATTCATAATGTAGGTCACTAAAACTGAATACAATTTTTATGTACCCAGTATATATCTGAGGTAAAATCTAAAGACAACATTAACTGCTCTCATATAGTGAATAGCGTTATTTGAGTTCTATTTTACGTTTCAAACCTCCACACTTGCATATGTCATGCTCAAAGTATTTTATTGCTTTGCAAACATTTTAATAGTTTTATCAGAGCATTTTGGGCAGTTACAAGCCTTCTATGTGTGTTAAATATGGTTATAAATCAAAGTTTTTTAAACAAAATGCTGCAAGTAATTAAAATTTAGCTTTAAAGAAGAATTCAGACACTGAATGACAAGTTTTTTCCATACATACATCATTTATATAAGGAGTTATGTGCTCTAATTTTACAAATATGATTTACTTTTTCCTGAACATTTTAGTGGAATAGAGTTACATTATCCTGTAAGTTTCCATGTGTGTGTATATAAATAACTACATTATTCACAGTTATTAGGCATAATAATATATTGTTGATTGTTTACCAAAAATGATTGTAGAGTGTCAAAATTGGATAGCTTATACAATTTGCAGCCTAGCCACTGTGGTATGAGGGCTGCTATTTATGTATTCGGAACTGGCCAGTTATAGAACAAAATTAAAAAAGTAATCATTACATTTAAAAATGGAACTCTTTGGCTGAAGACTACAATTTGTTTCATGTAGCTGTCATTTGTTTATCCTTTGTGGTGTCATTTTGATAATTGCATGTCTATATAACTATTTATTTAACTTGTGAAAAATTTTGTGCTATGATTTATTATGATTTTCGTTGAGGGCTCACAACAAATCTAATGTATTTAATTGGATAAGAAATAATAATGTATTATTGGTTGTAAATAGCTTCCTAAATAACCCATTATTTTGTTGTAATATTTTAAAGATAAAAATGGTTACTGTGCGTCATCCTTAGGAGTTAGACATATACCATCGTGGACTTTTTTGTAGATCTTGTTAAGATAAGCAATTGGTTATTGGACAACATTGAAAATATTCTCCAAATCATGGCCATCTTATTAGATAATAGGATAGAAAAGCATAATTTACTTTATATCACGCTAATTGGTGTAACTTTTTAAGTAAATATAGCCAAATAAATTTCTTTTTTTGGTAATTTTATCTCAGATGGGAATGTCCTATGATTGGACACAAGTCTGTGACGACACCACAACAGTCACAAATCTCAAAAGTGAACCATACACTAAAAGATATAAAGTGAACAAAACAAACAAAAAATTTTGGATTGTTTCCGAGATAGAGGGCGGAGAGCGCGCTGTTAGAGCATCATTTAAAGTCACCCGGTAGCCCCAGTCAAAACTATGCCATATAAAGTTGATTAATTATTGATAAATACATAATTGGTAACAATTTTCACTTCTTATAAACCATTACATTATATTTTTTTTTTTTTTTTTTTTTTTGTTTTTTTTTTATATCTGCAATCAGCCCTTTGAGCTTTAATCAGATTTGAACGTCGTAGAGTCAGTTCGAGATTCTTCACATCCTGTGATGTGTCATCTCCATATTTGTCAGAATTATACTGACGCTATTCGCTTTCTTTTGAGTCTATATGTAGACTCAGAGGACTCTAGTAGTGTCACAGCTAGTTCATTTTTGTGTTGTTGGAGTCTTTTTTTATACTTTTTGTAGGACTTTTCTATAACCTCCTTAACTGTTGGTAATTGTAAATACTCTTGCACTTCAGTATTCCTTGTGTACCAAGGTGCACCACTTAGATTTTTCAGTGCTTTATTTTGGAAGCGTTGCAGTATTTCAATATTGGAATGGCTTGCTGATCCCCAAAGCTCTATCCCATACGTCCAGATAGGTTTCAGGATGGATTTATAGATCAGGAGTTTATTTTCCAAGCTAAGTGACGACTGTCTGCCTATAAGCCAGTGCATGTCTTTGAGTTTTCTTTTCGCCTGGTCTCTTTTGGTTTTAATATGTTCACGCCAGGTAAGTCTTCTATCGATGTGCATGCCCAGGTACTTTACGACATTTTTCTGTGGCAGAATTTCATCGCCAAGTTTCACAGGTGGGCAGTCTTCTCTTCTGAGACTGAAGGTAATGTGGATTGACTTAGCAGCACTAACTTTAATTCTCCATTTTTTCAGCCATGCTTCAATCTCATCCAAGTGATTTTGGAGTTTTGTAGATGCGGTAATTCTATCTTTGTCACACGATAGGATCGCAGTGTCATCAGCATAGGTCGCAGTAACAATTAAGTTTGAGGTGGGTAGATCAGCAGTGTACACTGTGTATAGAACAGGGCCCAGTACTGAGCCTTGAGGCACTCCTGCTTCTATGGGATAGAATGAAGAAAGGCAGTTACCAGACCTAACTTGGAATACTCGGTTTTCTAGATAGGATCTGAGAAGCACATATGCCGGATGTGGCAAGCACATTTTAAGTTTACACAGGAGACCCTTGTGCCATACTCGGTCAAATGCTTGTTGTATGTCAAGGAAAACTGCGGAGCAATACTCTCTTCTTTCCAAGGATTGCCGAATTGTGTGAGCCACTCTGTGTATTTGTTCTGTTGTTCCATGGTTTGCTCGAAAGCCGAATTGGTGCTGTGGGATTGTTTCTTGTTCTTCTAGTCTTGGTAACAATCGTTGCAAAAGTACCTTCTCAAAGAGTTTAGACAGTAATGGGAGTAAACTTATTGGTCTATATGATGTAACTTCAGAAGAAGGCTTTCCTGGCTTGCATATCATGTTAATGATTGAGATCTTCCAAATGAGTGGGTAATAGTGTACTCTCAACACAGAGTTAAACAGAATTGTAAGCAATACAATTCCTTTTCTTGGCAGGCGACATAATACCTCTGCTGTAATCAAATCAAATCCTGGGGCCTTTCTCTTTTTCAGGTTATTAATAGTTTTCCGTACTTCAGTAGGAGTACATAGTTGTAACGGAAGGGGCATTTGCTGATCACTTTCGATGATTTGATCAATTTCTTTTTCTGTATTCCTATTGTCGTGTTCATGGGGCTTGAATACATCTTTTAGAAAGTCTGCAAATACTTCAACTTTATCCGAAGGTTTCCTTGCCCATTCACCATTCGACTGTCTTAGAGGAGGCATGTGTTCTTGTGGCCGTTTTAATGACTTGGTAATTTTCCAAAGGGAGTAGTCATCTGCCTTATGAGGTGACAAAGTTTTCAGTTTTTCTTGCAGAGTAGCGTTTTCATGTTCTTTGAGCATCCGTTTTAATTCCTTTTGTGCTTTGTTGAGGGCTCTTTTATCGTGTGCGTTCCTGCTTGTGTGCCATTGTCGCCTCAATCTCCGTTTTGTGATTATCATTTCTCGTATTTCTAGTGTGCAATCCCGGCTCTGAGTCCCGTACTTTATAGTTGGAGTAGACATCCAAGCAGCTTTTTGGATAAGATTTGTTGTATAAAAAGCTGCCTTTTCTATGTCTTCTTCTGTTTTAAGTGGAATCAGTAGATCAGCATTTTCCTCTATAAAGCATCGGAAAGTGCCCCAATCAGTTTTACGATTGTATAGCGTTTCGGGTGGTTCTTTCAAGATGATTGTAGTGCTCAGTGTACAAATCATAGGTGTATGATCGGAGTTACCGTCCAAGCACGACTCCACATTTGTGTACAACCCTGACATGCCTTTAGTGACAAAGAAATCTATTAGATCCGGCGTTTTATTGGGATCGGCTGGCCAGTATGTTGGCTCGCCTGTTGTCAATATGTTGAACAAATTTGAGTCGGTTGCCTTTTTCAGTTCTCTGCCTCTGGTTGTGGTTAGCCTGGAGCCCCAGAAGGTGTTTTTAGCGTTCCAGTCGCCCCCAGCAATGTATCTGTTACCAAGTGTGTTAAGAAATTCATTAAACATTTGCTCATCAACTCGATGACGAGGCGGACAGTACACAGCTGCGATGTTGAGTGAACCTTGCCAGTCGTCCACTGATATCACAGTACCCTGTAGGTATGATTGTTTAAAGTTTAGTAAAGGGTGGTGTTGGATGTTTTCTTTTATTATAATTGCTGACCCAGCATGTGATGTTCCATCTGGATGGTTAGTGTAATAAATATTATACCCCTTCATTAGGATGATTTTGTTGTCTTTCATGTGTGTCTCTGATATTAGGAGAATATCTATCCTGTTATTCTTTATGAATAATTCGACTATTTGTTTATTGGGAGACAGGCCATTTACGTTCCATGCAGCAATGCGTAGGAATTTCATCATTTCTTATATTGTGCAATTATAGTTGTAAGGAGACCCATTAGGGTACCCATTTGCTGTATGAGAGTATCTATTTTCTCTGATTGCTTGATGATTATCTGTTCCAGTGAACTTGTTGGCTGAGATTGTGTGTTCTCTTGTTTCTTGTTCCAATATCCTATATTTTCGGGATCTTGACTTCTTGAACTTGGAGGTTGTTGTCTAACATAGGGGCCTGCCCCTAGTGGAGGAAAGTCTCCTATATTAAAGGCAACAGTATTATTTCTTTGATGTTTCATATTCGTTGGAGCTTTTTTTTGGGATGGGACTATTTTTCTTGCACGGATCTCTCTATATACTTGGCACCCCTTGTAGTTTGCAGGGTGGTCTCCAAGGCACAGTGTACAGGTAGCAGGTGTATTTCTATATTTTTTCGGACAATCTAATGTTCTATGGCCTTCTGCACACTTAACGCATCGATAGGGGCGCATGCAATTGTTTTTAGTGTGCCCATATTGCTGACATCTAGCGCATTGGGGAATTTCATTTGTTTTTCGTGGATCTTCTATCTTAACTTTTGTGTGGTATATGGAATCTATACGCTTTAGTTCTGGGTTATTTGGACCAGGTTCTACATTCACGAAAAACATATTTAGCGGTTTCTTGTTTCTTCTAGAGAGTGCGCATACAATTTCCCCTTTGACTTTATTTCCAGTTTTTTCTATTTCATCAATAATGGCATTACATTATATTTAAAAAAATATTATTAACTAAATATCTATCTACTCAATAACACTTATAACCGATTAAGGAACGAATAATTAAGGAACAAACTTTTATTATATTTTAATTATATTCTCATTTCCACTAATTACATTTTTAATAGAAAATAATTAAGGACATCTTTAAAATCCGTAAACACTTAAATTCTTTCATAACGTTAAAAATTGTACTTGGGAATTATATCTGGCAGTCAGGACCCCTATTATACGTACATATAGTACGAACCTTTCCATTTATAGCCAGTAGGGATAGATGTTCAATTGTACGTGGGGCATACAGCAAAAAATTGTGTGTCGCTATCAAAATGAATTTCATTCGTGAACATTTTCGTTCAATGAGTTTTTAAGATTTTCGGTCATGTTTGTTACTTCAATTGCCATTTGGTGATGAAGCACCATGTCGCAGCTCTGTGTATTCGTAGTTTGGAGAATTTAGACGTGGACGTGATCATCTGCATGACGAGTTAGGTACGTGAAGGTCGGCCTGCGACTATGATTACAGACCCTAGTATTGACACCGTACGACAACTTATTGAAACTGACAAAAAGTTACTTGCCTGCAAATTCGTGCGTTGTTAGGCATTGGAATGAGCCAAATGCAAAACATTTTGCATGTGCATCTGCTTTTTGGACTCGATGGATATCGCATGATTTAATGGTGGACCAGAAACGACTGCGTGTCCAGTCATTGGTTGTCTACAATATCGTGATAGGTGACGAAACCTGACTGTACTGCTTTGAACCCGAAAGAAAAAGCGAGAGCAGAAAGTTGGGAAAAGTCAAAGCATTGGTAAAAAAATGGTTGCTTCTTTTTTCGGCAAATCTGGACATTACACTACTGTATCGCTTGAAGATCAAAGGACAGTGACTGCAGACTGGTACGTCAACGCTTACTTGAGTCTTAGAAAAAGTTTGCGAAAAGCGTCCTCGAATGTCCTTCTTCACCATGATAACGCATCCACACGTGCCGCTAAGGTAACAGAAGCCTATTTGAAGGCTTCACATGTGGAACAGATGACGCATCCGCTTTACGGCCCAGACCTCGCACCCTGCAACTTATTTTTATTTCAAAAAATTAAAGACAAACTTAGAGGCACACATTTTACGAGCCTTGAATCGGCGGTAAATGCATTCCATGAAACCATTGAAGAAGTCCCAAAGGAAGACTGGTCCAACTGCTTTGTACAGAGGTTTCAGAAAATGCAAAAATGCATTAATTGCAAGGGAAAATACTTTGAAAAACAATAAGTCTACCGGAAGTCTTATATGAAGAAGTTAATTAAAATTATAAGTTGTAGTTCTTGTAATTTTTATTCAATTTTTTTAATTTACACAATAATAAATATTTATCAAATAAATTTATAAAATATTAATAAAATATTTATTTGATAAATATTTATTAATAAATATTTATTTATTTATATTTATTTGATAAATATTTATTAATAAATATTAAATTATTATTTATTTATTATTTTAAAAGTCGCGTACACCTGGTTTTGAGACAACTTTTAGGATGTCAAAACACAAGTTTATAGGACTTTATAGATGGGTATCTCGAAATCCGAGGTGAACTTACTAAGATGACTGGACTATAATATGCATGTTTTATACATATAAACCTTCTTCGTGAATCACTCTCTCAATTGGTGAAAACTGCATTAAAATCCATTGCTTAGTAAACTAAGCTATGGATTTTAATGCTAAAACTAAGCTCTAAGCGTACAACACAAAAAAGCGACTCTATTTTATACAACGTAAAGAATATTGTTATAATATAGTTAGGTAAAGCCACCAGAAACTGATTATCAATATCCTGGTCTAGGTAGTAGTTTTTGGCACGCTCTTTAGCTATAAGAAACCTTATTACTATTGTAAGGCTCAATTTACACCGCCGCTGAATGGAATGGAAGCCCCTTTTGCAACGAAATTGTACATAGCATAATGAACTTTATGTCAATTATATAAAGTATAAACTAAATACGAGCCCAAAAAGGTCGCGCGTCTACCGGGGAATCCGCGGGAAGTGACGCGAACGGGGAGTCGGTCAGGACGGTCACAATCGTGCGCCGCAAGGCGCAGTCGCGCAAATTCGCTGGAATGCACGGGGCTTTTGGAGCATTTCCGCGAATTCGCGTGCGTTCTATCATCATGAGGCGAAATTGACGCTTTCATTCCATTAAAAATGTGTAAATTAAGCATAACCTTTCTCATATCAAACATTTGTAATCTTTAACTTAAATAAATATTTTGTATTCAATTGTTCACAAATATTTTAATAATTATCTTCTTTATTGTTTACATAATTTAGAATTTCTATTTCTCATTTTAGGATACAAGTATGAATAATTGTGGAGTTGGAGGGGGGGCAGTAGGTGCTGCGGGAGGAGGAGGAGCATATGACGCCAAAATAGCAGGATTGTACGATCTTTTAGACACTCTTGGATCTGGACATTTTGCTGTTGTAAAATTAGCTCGTCATGTTTTCACCGGTGAAAAAGTTGCTGTTAAAGTAATTGACAAAAGTAAATTAGATGATGTCTCTAAATCACATTTATTTCAAGAGGTATGTGAAGTTTTGATTTAAGCACAAATATTAGATTACTATTTCCAGTAAGAGATCCCTACATACAGTTGCACATTGATTGTAGTATAGTGACTAAGATCTCATAGTTTGTGTAAAAACAGTCAATTTTGTTCTTCATTATGATGAATATTTAATACCACAATTAATTTAAACATAACCAAAATAAATGAACATGTATGTTTTCAGGTTCGCTGTATGAAATTGGTCCAGCATCCAAATGTCGTGCGCCTGTATGAAGTAATAGATACACAAACAAAATTGTATTTAATATTAGAATTAGGCGATGGAGGTGACTTGTATGATTACATTATGAGACACGAATCCGGGCTATCGGAATCTCTTGCTCGTGATTATTTCCGCCAAATCGTTCGCGCTATCTCATATTGCCATAGGTAAAATAAAGCTATTGGGTTGTTGTTTATATACTATGTCATTATTAATAGAATGAGCATATATTTTTATTTTTTTGATACAGGTTACATGTTGTGCACCGAGATTTGAAACCTGAAAATGTAGTATTCTTCGAAAAACTAGGCATTGTAAAATTAACAGATTTTGGATTTAGTAATAAATTTTGTCCGGGTCAAAAACTGGAAACATCATGTGGATCGTTAGCTTATTCAGCTCCGGAGATACTTCTTGGGGACTCATATGATGCACCGGCTGTTGATGTGTGGTCTCTTGGTGTCATACTTTATATGCTTGTTTGTGGTCAAGCTCCATTTCAAGAGGCCAATGATAGTGAAACATTGACAATGATTATGGATTGTAAATATACAATACCACAACATATATCCAATTCTTGCAAAAGGTATGTTTTATATGTATTTTCTAAGTTACGATTGTTACAATATTAATGATTACATGATGAATATTAATGATGACTAAGATGTTTGACCTGTAATTTTTTAAGAGAAATTATTTTACTTATATGATAAAGTTAGTTGCGATATGCTCTTAAAGGGCATACATATAGGTCTTTGCACGATGCGTGTTTTTAAGGCGCTGTGGACGCACAGATAAGACGCGTTACGCAGACAATATTTAATACTAACTGCACATTTGTATCGATATAGACGCAATATAGTCTCTGTCTGTCTGTCTGTATAGTCTCTCTGACATCTGTGCGTTTTCACCAGACTTTCTTCAGCAATAGTAAAATGGAGTCGACACAACACTGCGTACGCCAAATGAGTGTTTATTTTAATACAAAATGATCAAACATTAAAGATGGGAAAAAATATCAAACTGCTATCGGATGTCATAATCGTCATTCCCAGAAGTTTTTAATGGGTTTCACATACACGTTCGTATGGCTTTGTACGCGCGTTTGAATCGATACAAATGCGATGGTCTGGTTTTTGCTGATCTTAAATCTAAAGCGCTTCTAACACTCGTTATCGGCGCGTAAAAAAATAGGCCGAGTGCAAAGGCCCTAAGTGTGTATTTCACATTACAGACTTATTGGAAGGATGTTAGTAAGGGAACCTGAAAAACGTGCAACACTTTCGGAAATTGCTACAGACCCCTGGGTAACAGCCGGAGAGGGGGTTACTATAGAAGATTTTGATACACCCTTAGTTGCAAAAGAGCAACTTTCAGAGGAAGACCGCACTGCCATAATTCAAAGAATGGTAAACGGCTCCATTGCTAGCAAAGAATGTATTTTGGAATCATTAGAAAAAAATGAATACAATCATATCACCGCTACCTATTATCTTTTGGCAGAGAGAAAACTTAGATCTAAAAGGTAAAAAAATTAGCTACTAATAAAAAAACACATTAAGGACGTCTGAAATTGTGGTTATGTTTATACTTCTGTGGAAAATATTGACTGCAGGCAGGAGGCGACCCGCAGCGCTCGGCGACCGGAGGTGCTGAGCGTGGCGCGCGGTGCTGCGGTCGCCGCCCCAGCGCCTGCCGCGCGCTCGCTCCTCGCGCCCCCGCCGCTGTCCGCCGCGCCGCGCACCCCGCAGGACGTGCCGCCCGTGAGTGCGCCCCGTCCGCCCGCTCTGCCACGTTCGGCCGTTCGCGCTCACCCTACCCGTTGTATTGTCGCAGAGGTCTCGAAAGTGTAGCATCGTGCGCGAGGAGGAGGATGACGAGGAGGCTACGGTCGCTGGCGGCGCTCGCCACGTGGACGCTCGCCGAGGCTCGCGCTCCGAGGGACGTCTGCACCTCGCCGCCCGCGTGGCGCATCAAGCACCCGCAGCGGCCACCGCCACGCAGCGTCCAGCCTTACTCGCAGATAATCTCACCAAGGTTGGTCTCCGTAACCGCCGGATCCAGAAACACATCCTAGAAGCTTCTTTAATATTTTTGTTCGTCCTAGGTGAATCTCGACGACGAGGCGAGCACAGAAATGGCGTCGCGCAGTGCTCCACCGGCTGCCCCGCCGCCCGCGCGGCGCCAGCGCCTCGAGTGTCGTCGTCGGCGCACTCGCGCGGGCTCGTGCTCGTCCTCCGACTTATCAGACGATGATTCTGAGAAGAAAAAACGGGCCGCCGAACACTCAGATTGCCCTCCCGAACGGGCGCGTCGTGATTCACACGACGATTCTAGCGATAGCCAGGAACGCGGCGGGGGCGCTGGCGCTATAGGAGGAAGCCGCGGAACGAGTCGCGCAACCGCCCCCGCGGCAGCCCCCGCCGAGCGCGGAGCGGGCGGGGCGGCAGGCGATGGCCGCGCGGGCGGCCCGGCTGGAGCGACAGGCGGCCGCCGGCGTCGTGCTGCGCGTAAGGAGAGTCGCCTGCGGGAATCACGTTCGTTGAACCGCATCGCAGAGGTGGAGGAAGCTGGCGCAGGAGCGCGATGGGGTGGCGCGGGGCTGGTGGCACTATGTGGGCGACCTCTACTGCGATTGTTAGCCGCGGCCCGTCCGCCTCCCTCGACTCGCCGTCTGCACGGCCTATGCTAGCCGTCTGTGCGATTTATGCTAGCCGGCTGCACGGTCTGTGCTACACAAAACCTATGTAAGCTTTTAGCACTGCCCATGCTAGCCGCCAGCATAGCCTTGCGAGCTACCTATCCGCCCCTAAGTGTTTTGCGCAGCCATTATAAATTGTTTGTCGGTTAGCCGACTGCACAAAGTATGCCAAGGATCTGCAGGATCTGTGCAAGCTGAAAGGGCGGTAGGTCGCTGGCTTGGGCTTGCCGCTAGCTCATGATTACTGTACTCATCGAGGGTGACATGGTGGTTAGCTTAGGAGAATACTTAGTGAGACAACTATACCTGCTTTCATTCGAGTTGTGGATCAGATAGATGATCTTTACTTATTCAGCTTTTTTATAATGGGTGTCTCTTGACCCCGTAAATGATTAATATAATACGGCTCCACATCGACGTTCTGATCGCGACTTGTTACCTGTTTAAAATTTTAAATATTTCTACTTCTTATATTTTTATAAAAATCCTAACAGGTAAACAGGGTTTTAAAATGGTTCAATAAAAATCAAGTACACCAGTACATTTGTATCCTGATACACACTTTTATTTGTCTTGTCTAAAATTACTACAACTTCATATTCTTAATGTGTTGCTTATCACAAATGAAATAGAAGCTTTTATAATGATATTTTATGTGTAAAATGAAATATTTTTTTGTTACTAAATTGATATTGATGATCACAAAACAGATGATCGTCCTAGGCTGTATAGGTACATCATATTTCAATATTAAATAGCTACATGTTTTAATGACTAAACATTGAAGTAGTCAACACAGAAGTACACATAATCCAAGTCAAATATCAAATATTGAGACAAATGTAAGCGACCTGTGCATCATTTATAATTAAATTTCAGTTAATAATTACAATTAAACGAGAAACTATTAAAACACAAATCGGTTGCAATTGTTATTGATTAGTTGTTATTAATTAAACCAAATGACAACTGAACTCAATAAGTAAGCGGTAATTTATATATTGATTGAAATTATCCACCAGTCTAGTCTTATGTAAATCGCAATAGTTTTTCAGTTGACAATGAAGTACCTACAGAATAATAACATTTATGATGCAAGAACTATATTTTAGTAACAATAGTACTTATTGTGGTTTTTCAACAGTTTTTAACAGACTTAAAAGAGGAGGAGGTTCTATGTTCCACTGTATGTATATTTTTTAATTCATCTTAATATAGATTGAACCTTATACATAAAAAATAAAAATAGTGTAGTGCGCGCATATATTTGTTTTCTATCTTTTAAAGCCCGTCCATGTATACCAATATACTATGTAGAAATTATATCAGATTAAGGGCAACTGTGCTAGAAATATAAAAGCGTATCGCAATAACATATGTACCTGCTAATATTTGTCATAAATCATGTGCGTATATCTTCGTTCTTCATTGTCTAAAAATATACCTAAATTCTAACTTTAAAGTTTTGATATCATTCAAATATAAAAAATATCCTTGTGTAAATAAATCACAAATTATTTGATGTATTTACATAGTATGTATATATTGATGATTGTATTGTCTACTGAGGAGTGAATTAAACAACTGTTGATAAATATGCGAGTCTTTGTACAACTTTGTTATGTGTACACAGTCACCAACCAAAGTCAGTTTCATAAAAAGTTTAACTAAGTAGATCATTCTTCAATCAGATTCTTCATTCAGCAGTGAATAAACTGCTAGACTTAGACTATCCTGTCAATTTAAATTGCTGAGTTCAACGTTGACTGACAACTGATACATTAGTTAATTATCAACTAAATGTGTTGTCATACTTTCTTTTTAAATCAGGTTAATTGTAAACTTTTCTTAAATCTTAACTATCTTCTTAGCCAAAATATTGTACAGGCGTATAAACTAGTATAAAGTTTTGACAATTATAGATATCAAAGTTTTGCATAATACTCCTGTAGGATTTATATGTATGCACTCTTTCGGGACAACTTCATTAATAATTTTGCACGTTTTTAATTATCTTCTTGATCAACAATCTAAAGTACAATCGAATAATTTAATAAATAAAAACAGTATTGTGTCAGAATAAGGTTAGTCGCGGTTTGTACGTTTTGCTGAGCTGCTTTTATTATAAAAAATTTCAAGCATGTCTGTTTGTGATTGTATAAGCCTTTTCTTAGACCATTCAAAAGTTGTGGAAGTAGTGACGCTATGACTGCGTGCCGAGTTGTTTTGGCTCAAGTGGTTTTTAAACTATTAAAAACAATCAAAAATAGTCACAGTTGCATTGTTTAGACTAAAAGATAAAAGAGTATGCTTGCAAAATCAAAGTGATTAGCCCTATTTTTCTGTATTTGTTCAGGGTTACATAAAGCATGAAGAAATAACTAAAATTCACCTAAAACTGATATTTACCGCAAATCATATGCAAAAAATAATGTCCCAAAAATTATGTCGAATAAAGAAGCACTACTTACAAAATAAAAAATTAGTCACGATTGTGCACGGATTTGGCCAAGCATAATCGAGATGTATTTCTCTTTTACCTGTTAGTGAGCTCATCCTTTCAGTCAGAAGTGTGTTTTTTATTTAGCTCAGTTTTTTTTGTATTTATTTATACTTTTTGTATACTTTCTGATATTTTTGTGTTATTAGTACCCTTATAATAATCTCATGTGGATTGAATATTTCATGGCAACTCCCAAATATCAGACTGGTAATTAAATACATTTGTAATATATTTTATACCTCTATTACGACTGCATTAACAATATTATCATTGCAAATTGTTTAATATACCTGTATAATATGCATAAGTTTGTATTGAATGTTTATATAATGAGAATGTTATTAACAATTAATAGTAGAGTATAACTCTACAGCTTGAAGACCTGTGACGCTCAGGCTGTGCAAAATATATTGGGATGCTGTTCACAAAATCAGGGCACAAACTAATATGTTTTCTACAAGTGAGGGTGTCCGGTGCTTAAGCGTTGTGTATTCCTACTGTACGCCGTCGCGTTGGAAATGTGTGACGTTACGAATGGATAACGCATTTCGTAAGTGTTAGCTACGTTAGATTGTGGCAATAAAAAATATTTAATAACTTTTAGATTGTACCTATGCATCTTTAGAATGGTTACATTTTTTTAAGGTAAGTTAATGTTGTGTATTCAAAAACTATGTACATATTTAAATTGTTGTAAATAAATAGTCTATCTCAAATATTACATAATTAAGTATGTTTAGTTATTATAACTATTCAATGTCACATACCGTGATGCAATATTTTACTAGGTTGACATTGTTAAAATACAACGTTAAAAAGGTGAATCATTATGACACCCCAGTGGTGCTTTAAGTTCGCAATACTTTTACCAGACCAAAGATTAAAAGAAATTGTGTGTTTATTGCACTCCCGACTCTTGTGCTGTTCGTTCGGTGCCAACTTTGTATACATTATATATGATAAAATTCTGATGTGCGTGTCCCTATGTTTCCCTAGTATATTTTGTGTCGGTGCTTGTTATTTAAATAATGGTCGAGATTACTATTGGAAGATATTATTAAAAATATAGAAAGAAAACTTGTAATAGTTTATTTATACTAAAGATTATCTGGTGGTCGAAGTTCGACAATATTTCAGGTCTTATTTTTTTTAGTTTACCACATTGCTCAGTATTACTAGAATTGCCTTGCCCTTAAAACATGAAAGGATGATGATTATAGATATGAGATTACCTATGTAAAAGTTGTGGTGTTCGTATAATGAAAATGAGACAATTTTTATTGTCATTAAACGAGGACCAGTAGATTAGTAGATCCATGTCGGTTATATTTGTAGGCAGTATGCAGAGTATGCAAATACAGGTATTATTACGTTATCTAACAGTGGGAGAGCCATGCTTCGCTACATTAAGGTCGGCTCCGATCCGGGGCGGATCTAGGGGGGGGGGGGGGGGGGGGGGGGCAAACCGGAATACCCCCCTGGACGGCAGCTTCAGGGGGCGCATACGGAATCAACGGGGAGTCCATGATGCTAAATGGGGATTTACTCAAGCGTCATGGGGACTAAATGCATTTGAAAGATTAGGTAATATAATGAATACAAGTCTTATAATGTTTCCACTTTCAGCGATGGGAATAGCTTCTACATGTTTTCAAAAATGTTATTTGAGAGAAACGGAAAAAAAATCGGGCGCATCAGCGCGCCAAAAATGCACCCATTGAAATGTCTGACGATTTTAAAGTGATATCGAAATGCAAACTGCTTGAAAAATCGCTATTTCGAAATACGCGAGCGTGTTAGATTTAATACAGACGATTGATGTTCCTGTCATACTATCCAAAAATCGGAAGATATTTTGCAGGGTATTTCAAATCTCACGGTTTGAAATATTTTGATATGTATGGTGGAGGTACTTAACTGGGTGTAAGGTTGGCCTGATCGTCTGACATGCTCATAGATCTCAGTCGTCTTCTTGCGCAAGTCATTCGCGTACTCCGTTATACTGTGCGGGGCGCGAGGGGGTATTCCAGTGATCAAGTCTGCGTGCAACCATTTGCAGACGACAGCTATCACTTTGAACATTTTCCCATTTACTGCACAAGACTCGGTCCTGTGTGACTAAGCTATCCCATTGAGCTCCATAACTCTTCGTGATCGAAATCGACGCAACATCACTCCAGTGAGGCTTAGGAGTATCAGCTGTAATCCACTCGAGAATCGGCTTGATTTCTGCATCCTCCTGCTGTGCTTGTTGTAGGCTTTCCTTCCATTCATTGCTAAGGTCGGTCTTTACCGTCCTTACAGGTACAGCTTCCTTTACTTTTTGCTTAGCACAGTGCTTGCAGTCTTCAGAACAAGGTCTTAATAATAGTTTATTGATACCAGTATCAACACCACAGTAATACATTTGTCTTCTTGATAATGCATCCACCATTTTACTATGTTACCATGAGATTTTCCACTGCGATGTTCAATGCACCTCGCGACT